GTGCAGCAGCAGCAGCAGCAGCAGCAGCAGCAGCAGCAGCAGCAGCAGCAGCAGCAGCAGCAGCAGCAGCAGCAGCAGCAGGAGGAGGAGAGCGGACCTGAAGAGCCGAGGAAAAGGAAAGCGCCAATGGGCTTTTTCTCTTCGGAAAGTCCAGCTCGGTGGTTTCGAATTGCGTTCGCCACCGCCTGCACCGCCTCGTCTTGCCCTATCACCCTCTGCAGCAGCAGCAGCAGCAGCAGCAGCAGCAGCAGCAGCAGCAGCAGAGGTTGAGGCCTCGAAGCGCTCAAAACAAGCGAGGGAGCTCAAATTGTAACAAGACAGCCTCAGGTGTCTGTACACCCCACAACTTGACAACTTCCCAACACATTTGAGGTGTCTGTACACCCCACAACTTGGCAACTTTAGGACCCATTTAAGGTGTCTGTACACCCCACAAGTTGGCAACTTTAGGACCCATTTGAGGTGTCTGTACACCCCACAACTTGGCAACTTGCCACACATTTGGGGTGTCTGTACACCCCACAAGTTCCGACCCCACATCTGCGGTGTCTGTACACCCGAAAGCTGCGAGCGCATCTGGGGTGTCTGTACACCGCGCGTGTGTGTGTGCGTGTTTTTCGTTTTTGTTCGTTTTTGTTCGTTTTTGTTCGTTTTTGGGTCATTTTGGGAATTATAAAAGCGGAAAAGCTGCATTTAAAAGCAGAAGAACATTTATTTTAAACTTAGCTTCCAACTCCCCGAAAATCCCGCGAAAATCCCGCGAAAAACCCACTTTGCTGAGCAAGTCCGCCAACTTCAGCACCCGCGTCGCCTCGTCTTCAGTCATTCGCCCCACGGGAATGCCCGTCCACGAACTCAGCACGTGGGCCACGTCGTCCATCTGCAGCTCCAGCACTTCGGGGTCTGGCCGCTGCAGCAAACACGCAACCTGCTGCTGCTGCTGCTGCTGCTGCTGCTGCTGCTGCTGCTGCTGGTGTGTTTTGGTTTGTTGTTGCTGCTGTGGTGTCGGTGCTGCTGTGGTGTTCGTGCTGTGCTGATGTGCTTTGTTGTAGTGTTGCTGCTGCTGCTGTGTTGTAGCGTTGCTGCTGCTGCGTTGCTGCTGCTGCTGTGTTGCTGCTGCTGCGCTGCTGCGCTGCAGCAACAATTGGCAGCTCGAAAGAAGCAGCTTTTCGGGGGCCCCCTGGGGCCCCCAAGCGCATGCAGCAGATTAAGGAAGTGTGGGGAATTTAAACAAATAAGAAATGCAAAAAAGAAAAATGCAAAAACAAAAAAGTTTGAAAAGTGTTGAAAAAGCACCTCGTCTGTTGGCTCTGTCATTTGTGCGTATTCCGCCTGCAGCGCCGCCAACTCTTCTTCGGCCTGCAGCAAAGAAAATCCCAAACGCAAACTTCAACAAAACCCAAATTAACCACCAGCTGCAGCAGCAGCAGCAGCAGCAGCAGCAGCAGCAGCAGCAGCGGCAGCAGGAGCAGCAGAAACCCCCAGCACCCCTGAAAAGAACCGCATCCCCCCCTCCCCCCCCCAGCAGCAGCAGCAGCAGCA